GAGATGATACTAATAGATTTAATAGACCTTATGAAATATACAGAATCCCACTCTTTTGTGCAGGTACGTTAAGTTTGATCCACTTGGTCACAAACTCATCACTGGCATTGCAAACACATCCACGATCGACAGAGCCATGGGCCAGTAGAACCAGTGGGTGCACAAATGGCTCATTCCCTTCACATTCAGAATTAGTAGAAAGGGAGCAGCAGCTTTCACATCGTTACAACCAATTATCAAGCCAGTATCTTAACCTGATGTCACGATATGAAGCCCTTACAGCAGAAATTTTAATAATGTGCGAGAACATCCAGTAGAGTAAGTGTGAAATTGACCAAAGAATTTATGGATATGCTTGTTGTTATGTGTATGGTAACAGTTTAGTTTCTGTAACTGTAGCAGAACTGATTAATATGGATATGTGTTTGTGTTGTTTTCATTGCTCAGAAGTTTTTTCTCTTTTTCAGATTGATAGGGGCACAGACCCGATAGATCCACCTCCAACTCAAGGGCAACAAGCTCTGCTCAACCAGGCTAGACAGTTTGCAAGACAAGTGACTGAGGAGAGGAGAGCAACTTTACAAAGTCAAGTATGATGGAAAAATCTGTATTTTTCTTATTTAAACTGTTGGCATGTTATTTTAATTCTTGTAAATTTGCAGAAGTAAAAGAAAGTCAGCTGATTATAAGAATAATTTTCTTGGTATAAAATAGTATGAGAATGGTTTTGCTTTATTTTTCCTTCCCATGTTATGGGGTATTCAGACCTTTCTTTTTTATTGTCTGGCTATAGGAATCAACAGGTGAAATATCAAGGACAGAACACATGGGGGTCCCCAGACTTACATTCTGGACGGGATTCACAAGCCACTAATGACCTAAATGTGAGACTGGAGGAGGACTATGGTCTTAGTGCAGTGCGGACTCTGAGACAGATCATTAGTGATGACAGTGCATCATCTTCAAGTTTAGATTCCAGCTCATCTGCGACGAGTGGTACAAGTGGAATCTCCGAGAGAAATACTCGCCTTTCACTCCTGTGGACCTCAAGGCTTCACCGACCAGGGCAGGATTCTGACAGTGCGGGAGAGGCTTCTAGTGTACAGAGTTTAGGGGATAATGCTGTCAGTGGGATGGGATCTCCGAGCACCAATGGTGGGAGGAAGGGGTTACAGTAGTAGGAGAGGAGACAATTTTGTTCTTGATCGTAGAAATTACAGACGAACTGATGATAGAGGCAGTGATGAGGATGATGTAACAGTAGGTCCTGTTGGACCAAATCTTCGATCAACAGGGTCTCAATCAGAGCGTCAAGGTACTTTGTGGGTTACTTCACAAGTAATGGTTCTGTGATCCAACCAGGACGCTCAAGAGTGCCTAGGGAAAACAGAACTGAAACAGAAATTGAAAACAGTGGTAATAACACTGCTGAAAATGTTATTGGTAGTGATGAACCAGAAAACTCGCAAGAAAGTGCCGTACAACAAAGTGTTGAGAACAATGGTGCACCTTCTAGTGATCCACATATACTCTCTCAGAGTACAGGAACAGCTCCTGCAACAAGGGAACTGATCCTGTGAGACTCGGCAACACTGGGGAGATTCCTCCAAGTGATGCTAATGAGGATCTTGCAGTGCCTGGGCCATCAGGGTTGTCTGGAATGCCACGCTCTCAGATGTCTTCACTTTCTTCTGCGACGAGGTACCCAAGGTCTTCGTCATTAGATCCACAGTTTGGAGTACAACTTCTTAGTCGTCACATTGAGAATATGCAAAGAATATGCAGGCAAGTATTTTTGTTTTTGTTTATTTGTAATATGAATAGAGCCCATATAACTTTCATTAACATTACCTTAGTATTATTTCTCTGTGTGCAAAGAAATACAAATTTCACTCGAAACTAATAAGAAGAAAGGGCCACACAAATTTTGGTAAAATTACAGCCAGACAGTAGACTGTGAATAGCATATTTGAGGAATCAATAGATCATTGAAATCTTGAAACATGTTTTCTTCTCTGGCATAATTGGTGGGAAAAAGCGTGATGCTGGCCATACTAATGATGAATATAGCAAAGCCGTCATATTAGCAGTGGTTTCTTGTTTGACAGTAAAGAGATTCATAAAGAAAGAACACTATTTGGACGTGATTCATTCTTGAGTAATAGATGATGATGTATTGATGTGATACTGTACTCAGGCATTACTGGGAAAATTTTGCATGTGTGTAAATCGCACTCCTTGAGCATTCCAGGCATGCGATGGTGTTGCAATTGAAGTGCATGTAAAATCACTTTTATAGTAATCAAAAAGAACTGCCTGGACTTTACTTTGTAGAAAAAAGAAACCAATTATCAATTAAACCTTTTCCTATACAGAACCAAACCCATAACAAGAAATGATACTTGAGTTAAGAAATTGTGCATGTTAAGTCAGTTTCATAAACCCCTTGCTGCTGGGTGGCATTTACTTTAATGCCATGGCTGTTGTGGACAAAGTAGCAGACGGCATTATATCACGACCATTCCCGGCGCTATTGGCTCATTGACAAAGCTTGTTTTTCTCCGATAGTAGCATTTTTAGGCAGTAGCACCTAAAATGAAGGTAAACTTTCAAATTTATAATAGTATTACAAATTATAGCAAAATAAAAGTTTTTAGGTGCTGAATGTTGCTCGCAACTACCGAATGAGGTGGGCACAAACGGGAAACTGCTGATGCATGCCAACAATCCCGCGATCATGTCCACTTGCCAAACTTTTACCTTGGATGGGTTAACATTTCATGCATTTGTTTTTAAAAATTGTTTCCAAGGAACTGTAGGTGAATTATTTTAAATTAAGAAATATTATCTAGGATGCTAAGAACTAAGAAATCATTACAATTTAGTAAGAAACTTTGGAAGACAGTATCGAGTTTGCTTATTTGTTTTCAGTCCTTAACATTAAAGATGAATAAAATAGTTTGCTATTCCTGATCAATGTTAATGATAAATCACACTTCTAGGAAAAGGGAAGCATGCGCCAAGGCGTGCGAGAGCGATTTCACACCATCCGTAATAAGGCCTGTGTACTGGTCCTGTTAAAATAAATGATAAATAGCCAAGAAGGTAGTAACACATCACACATGATAGATATTAACCCATTAACGCCGTTATATTTGGAAGCTGAAAATAAAAGATTCTGGGTGGCTACAAAATCAGCCCGCCGGGTCGTTGCCCGCTGCTGCATTGGAGCATGATCCCCGATACAGTGTCACACTGGCGGGATCCCGGCAATGTTTATTTTTTCGGGTATCTCATATGTGGGACACCCATTGTTAGTGGGTTAGAAAATATTAAAAAATAATGAATAAATAGTTAAATTGATAGATAAATAAAATTCTTCCCATCTCCTACACATACTATTAAGTTGCCATGGCTGTTGTCATTATTAAAAGATCATGAGTTTTCTTTACATGTTATGTGGATAGTTAGCTGGTAACTGACTGCTGATAAATGCATCATAATCATATATAAGTGAATCTGGCCCCTAGGAGGAAGGTAACCAACCTCCTGGCTGGTGCTGGCAGACAGCTTACAGAACCACAACCAAAATCTTGCCCTAATGCTCGTTTTAAAGTCTTGAAAGACAATCACCTTGGCACTTCTGCAATAACTTGCCTGAGGAACAAGTCATTAAGGGCATCCAAGACTGGTTATAGCTTTGACATGCGTACTCTTTGCTGTCCATCTGGACAAAGTGTAGGAGCGAGTCGCACAGACCTCCTGCCCAGATGTTTGTGTCCACTTTCTGGTATGAGGTGCTATGGGAGAGAGAGGACAGTAATAATACATTATTTAATATATTCTGACTGCTCATTACAAGAGATGTATCCTTCATATGGAATATATGGGATGTCCATGTTAACTTTCCATCATTAAAGGGTTGAAACAAAAATGCCTTATGTATATAAATGTGGGTTCTGCTCCTCCTTTCTTTGTTATATCTATGTACATGTCCAATGTGAATCTTCCACTGTAATTGTGATTATAGTTGAGTATGTGTTGAGAAAAATTTGTCATTAATGAAAATCACATTGCTGAGGTAGGAAGAGATGTAATTCAAACTAATGTTAAGACTTATTCATTGTTGAAGAGCTAATTTTATGTTGATGTGAATTAATTCAGATAGTGTAAAGAATAGCCTAGAGATTTCTTAAAAATTCCTTAGTACAACAGAATATTACTTAAAGATTAATCAGTAGGTTAAAAGCTCTTGGAGTATTTTGATATTATTACAGTCAATATTCCTTTGTGTACAATACAATGCTTTTTCTGCTACTTCATGTGAATGACACAGCCTTGTGTTATATATTTTATGATAATTGTATTATTTTCCATTTACGTTTGGAATAACTCATAAATTAGTGGTGTGTTTGGAAAGTATAGCCATTAGCAGTCTTCGTACCAGAAATTCATAGCCATTGAAAAATTATTTTGAATGCATATTCACTGCCTAGGATATTTCATCTCCACTTATGAGGGGCTCCTGGATGGTTACAGCCAGAGCAAAAATACAATTAATAGTTTAGGGTACACAACTTCTCTGATCACATGTGTCTTGTAGCCTTGCAGACGTAGGTTTGGTTTGCTATGGCAAGAATGGATGTATACAGTCAGTGTTAGGCTATGATAGAGGATTTTGCTCATACAAGTTAATTTCTGTATCAACAAATTACTTATACGTGTTTTTTATTAGGGTTTTATTGATTATTCTGTATGTGAAACCATGCTATATTAGTATTAAGGAATCAGTTGCTTTAATTTTTTTTTTTTTTTTTTTTTTTTTTTTCATTTCAGAGCACATTTAGAAATAACGCGGCATAGACATGAGATACTTCGCCTTCAGCAGATCCGTTCTATGTATATGATATCCAGCACCAGATACATTCTCTGAGGGTTTCTGTTGACCAGTCTATGGAGGATTTAAATGGTCCATCAGCAGACAGCCCTCCTACAACCAGCCAGAGGTAAGTTTCAGGATTTCTGTCTTAATTACCTATTAGCAACATAATGAAAAATCGCAGATATCAGATGATGCTTAGTCACGTTTTCAGTCCATTTTATTATTGCCCAACTGTGAGCTCAGCAATTGGCCAAGTGTGATATGGATTAATATACAACCATCCTTACATAATTTTATTGGAATTTTACTTGTAACCACACAATTTATAAGAAAATTTTAATACTCCTAGTCAGAAAAGATGAATATTAAAAATGTTTAGCATTGCAGCATATTTCAGACATATTATAGTACTCATATTTTTAAAAACAATTCTCAGGGTTGGTATTCCTAATGAAGATGACCCTAGTGCTCAGCCACCCAGCCTTGGTCCTAGTGATAACGTGTCCTCTCTGCCTCTGATTCGTCACTGGTCCAGAACAAGCCCCAGGACTGTAGCCCGGCTGCAGCGGGGACCTTTTGGAACCAGAACACGTTCTAGACATTCCCACAGGTGACTATTATACTTAGTAACATTTTGATTAAGGATCTTTCTCTTTCTCTTTTTCTTTCATTTTTGTCATTCTCTCTTTTCTCTTTTTCTCTCTCAGTCTGTCTCACCACCTCTCTCTCTCCTTCCCTCTCTTCCCCCTCTCTTCTTTCAGTCCTCCCCCCCCTTCTCTCTCTTTCTCAATCACATTTTTTATGCCAGACCCTGGGTGATGTCTCCGTGCATGCTTCGTCGCATTCCTCGTCGCCGTGCTGTCCGCACTCGTCTTACTTTACCTGGGCTATCTGCATCCCATCATGGAGCAAGTGGAGCACTGGGAGGGGGGCTGGACAGGACAACCTCTCCAACAAGAGGATTAATAGAACCTGGAGCATCAGCATCAGGCACCGGAGCAGTGATTGGGCCTCTGCCAACACCACCACCTGATCAAGGAGATTCTGAGGAACAACCCAGGGATATAGTGCGCATTATATCTGGCAACCAGTATGGTGCACACACTCGCACAGTAAGTTTAAAGAAGTACACCTTGTTTATTATAAGGACAATATGTATGTATATGTGTATATTTCTTTTGATCTATCTCTGTCTTTTCCATTGTACAGTTAACAGTCTTTGAGGTTTTGTTCAAGAGATAGATTTTCAAGAGAAAATATCTTTTGCATAAAGAGAAAAAGGATATTTATTTAAAACTGGAAACTCACCATAATGGCCTTGATAAGTTTACAAATGATTTTAACAATTAGTAATGTAGGATGCACAAAGTACAATATAGATATTTCTTATGTTGGTAAAACTAACTATTCAGCCTTTGTGTAATTGATTTTAGCATCCCCAGATATTACATCATTCGTTTGAGCGACTTCAGGAACGGTTACGAGAAAGACAAGAAGCGTTAGAACAGCAGGAGAGACGTCTACAAGGCTTCCTTAATGCATCATCACCTGCTTCATCTACAACATCATCTGTAACTTCATCTGCATCCCAGGATCATGAAGAAGACCCACCAAGTCCACCAGGTTAGAAAGAGTTATCAACCTGTATTTTGGATGCTTGTGTGTTGAAATATTTGTAGTTATCATATTTCTTTTTTTGTCTCCTTTTTCTTTCTTTATTGATCACTAACAAATATAATAATTTTGCAGAACAATATCGTCGAGCTGGTCCGCCAACTACATCCTTAGCATCAAGAATTGCAAATATGATAGCTCATCAAGTTGCTAATGGTGCCAGTACAAGTACTGCTGGTTCAGGTCAGTTTAGAAATTAAACTTTATTGAATGGAAGAATTAAAACACATTTGATATGCAAGGTAAATAACGCAAATATTACTTCAGACTTGTGTAACATAAATACTTCTGCTGTATGGTCAACAGCATAAGCAGATTATGTAGACAGTCTGCTTCACAGATTGGCAATGTGATATTTTGTGGGCTATAATTTGTTTCCCAGTTGATATTTGAATTATTCTCTCCAATTTCCTTCCAATGCTTTGTGTTTATTAATATCTATATTTATATTTGTCTGCCTGTACTAGAACTTTTGTTACCTATTTTAAGTTCTACAAGGTTTCTCAGTGTTCTGTATGAAGTGGGTATTGGCATCTTATGTGATCCTAATGTAGATACTGAATAATTAATTATGGTATTTGCAGATCATGAAGGCACAAATCACCAAAATGAAACATCTTGATACCTCTACAACCATAATGATCAGCAACACGTGCACTAAACAGGAATGCAGCAGGTTCATCAACTAGGTCTCCTGCTAGTTCAACACGTAGACCTCCACATCGGTCTTCAGACAGGCCGCTGAGTGTGCCAGATAGACCCAATGTAGAGCCATCCTCAAGTTCATATGACAGATTAAATGAAAGGAGGTCAAGTGGAGAAGTGATGGGCCATATGATAGGTTGTCAGACAGGTGGTCAGATTTGGATAATAATGGGCTGCCAGTGAGAAGCTGTGCTAGACAGCATGGTAGAAATAGTGAGAGATTGTCTGAAAGAACAATGGAATCAGCAAGTCCATGGGTGGGCTTCCCCCTTCTCGAAGGCCTGTTCCTCCAGGACCTCCACCAACAGTACCCCCGCCTTTGCCGCAGTTGGATGAGACTGAGGCCCAAAGCAATGATTTAAATAGTAAGTATATGGGATTTTGATTATGGAAGTAACTGAGTTAATATTTTTGATATAAGAATGCATGAAATTTCTCTTTTGAACTTTTACAAGTGCTTGTGGTAGTTATTAATTTAGACTCCTTTCTAGATAACTCTAAGTCCATGGCACAAGCAAGGCGTCGCTTACGACAAGACATAATAAATGCAAGGAGAGATCGGTTGGTCGTATCCCTGGGAACTCTGGAGGTCCAGTTCGTTTACCCATGGCAGCTCTTAGGTCTCGTCACATTACTACTGAACGAATTTTATTAAGAGAAGGACTCCGAAGGGAGAGAAGAGATCGTTACAGGTTTGTTGTAGATTATGAAAGTTTTGCTTTCTGTCCCAGGAGAGCTTGTTCCTATGGGCCAAGTCCACTGTGATACTAGTTTATTACTTTTCTTTTCCATATAGATGGGACCACGAGTCCTTTTTCACAGTAGCTACTTTGTTGGCCTACTCAATCTCACCTGTTTACCCATTTCCTTTACTTTTGCAAGTTTTGATAACATAATGTTAATAGTAACTGGAAGCACTCAGGGAGTGCATACCTCCACCAAGGTAATAGAGTCACTGACACAATGAAAATATTCACACTTGAAGAATTACGTTAAAATCACTTCTTTATCAATTACACTGGTGATGTCCATTTTGTCCTATCTCGCAATGCTAATGAATCCTTTAAAAAGTTTGGTAAAAATTTTATAAAAATCTGTTCTTAACTTTTTGAATTACTCTGTGCAGGATCTGGATCATAAACTGGACCACCACCAAATTTTGATGGCATCTAAGTTAGACTAAGACACACCTCTGGTTAAAACTTTATTAAAAATCTGTTCATAACTTTTTGAGTATCCTGCCAACTATCCTGGATATGGATCATGATCTGGATGAATACCAAAATTTAATAGCATCTAAGTTAGGAAAAAACTCACATCTGCAAGATCTAGATCTTCACCAAATTTAAAGGCATCTAAGATAGGCTAAGACACACCTCTAGTAAAAATTTCATAAAAATATGTTCATAACTTTAACCCATTAACGCCGGTATATTTTGAAGCTGAAAATTCCGGGCGGCTACAAAATCAGCCCGCGGAGCTGGCCCGGACTCGGCCCACTGCTGCGTTGGAATGCGAGCTCCGATACAGCGTCACACTGGCGGGACGCCCGGCAATGCTTATTTTTTGGGGTGTTTCTTATATGGGACACCCGTCGTTAGTGGGTCAAGTTATCTTACTAACCAACAAACTAACAAACCAATGCTACCAAAAACATAACCTTGGCAGAGGTAATGATAATTTTGTTGATACAATGATAGTATCAATAAGGAAAGCAATAGTGTCAGAAAAAAACTCAAGGAAAAGGGTAATCAGGTGAGATCATGAAGGCCTGCTAATTGACTCGGTGTGAACAGTATGACAGCTAGTTCATGTACCCAGTGCCATTTGGTTGATAGTTGTTTGTCATTCTTGCAAACTTTATTTTTCCTATTGGAATTAAACAGTTTTTAAACTTAAAGAATGACACCTTTTCTTCTTCTTCAATATTTTTATCGGACAAATATTCCTCAGGCAAATTCTGCAGAGAATGGCTGACCGCCTGAACAGTCTTGTAAACCAAGAACAAGAACAGCAGCAGCAGAGGCAGCAGGAAAGGCATCAGTCCTCAGACTCTGCGGAGGGAGAGCAAGATAGTTCTAGCAGTTCAATGGATAACCACATGCAGAGTAAGTTTTTTAACCTCTCTTTTTCATTGTTTCAGTTTGAATTGTTTTTCATTCATTTTCGTCTGTAAGAGGTTCCATTTTAGCATTAGGTTTTAAGAAATGTAAAAAGTACTTGAAGCACTTCATCTCATGTGTGCTATTTGCTCTTGGTGATTGTTATCGGCCATAGTTTATAAAATAACTTTTTAATTGTGAAAAAAAATGATTTTATTATGTAAAATATGAAATATTAGTTACATAATCTTTTCTTTCAGATTTGCGGCTATTAGTTCGATGGCACTTAACCTTATTTACCAACTTCTGAACTTCATATGCAACCAAAACATGTAAGTTAATATTTGTAGATTGTTATCATTTCAATTTTATTTATGGATTCTAATTCAATAAAATATGTTGACCAATAATACCATAGTCTTGAGGTATAATAAAGTGAAATTCGTTGTAGATTTTTTTGGGATTGTACAATGAAAAATAGAACACAATGGTAATCCCCCTAAAATGAATATTACATATATATTTTTTAAAACTCACTCATGACGGTTGTCTCACATATGAGACACCCAGAAAAAAAACTTTGCGGGCATCCCACTAGCTGGATCAGAGCTTGCGCTCTGATTCCGTTGCAGGCAGATTCCGGATAGCCCTGTGCGCTGATTTTAAAATGGACTGAAACAATTATTTTCGGCTTCAAAAATATACCGTCGCTCATGGGTAAATAATTACTTTTTTTTCTGTGAAAAAAATCAACACAAATTCAAAAACTTCTTCTCAAGAAATTATTCTCTTGTATCAGTTATCAAAAAAATCTTCACTGCCTAGTATCTGGGTGTTTTGCTACCCACACATGGCCCAAAATCTGTACATTTAGCTTACTTGAGTGGCCACTCTCACAGTTGTGTGGCTTTAAAGCCAGGCACACAGGCTCGTAATATTATTATCCCTTTTTCTGCATTTTTTTTTTTTTTTTTTTTTTTTTTTTTTTTTTTCAATGTTTGTATTTATCATTTGATATACTGTATCCAGATTGTAATAGACTTTTTCTTTGCACAGACTCCAATATATCTCTCTAGGTAACATTTATTTGCATTTGATTATATGTCTCACCTTTTATTTTTTTTAATATTCAATTTTTTTCAACCTGTGCTGCCAGTGATGGTGGACAGAAATACAATCCTACAATATAGGCCAGGTCCATGCAAACACAGTGACAAGACCCTAAGCCTCCCTTTTGCAAAGTTATTTTGCATTACTTTTTTTAGCTTTTTTTACCATTTTCCAATGTCTATATTTGTCTTTTGATTTGCTTTATCCAGATAGTAATATTATTTTCCTTGTACAGACTCCATATTGTCTCACTTTGTAGTAAATAAGTCTTGTGTAAGAAAAAGAGAATATGCAACATTTTGTTTTTTGTATCATATATTTTATTTTTTTGTACTATTCAATTTTCTGTAATACAACTCTGCCACTGGTCACAGAGGCCAGGAAGACAGTGTTGAGCATGGAAATGGTGTCCTCCCTGGAGCCGGCACTTTTCCAGTAATGGCTTGTGCACATTACATTCCACACTTGTTTATTGATGAGAATAATGCAAAAGGTTATTTTTTATATTACTTTATGGTGACAGCAGCTGTAAAATGCAGATGGCATCATCTCTTATCAAGGAATCTTCACAAATTTAGTACCAAAAGATTAATATAAAATTTAAAAGCATTGTATGCAGGAAATTGGGTGTGACCTTTTTATTATTATTATTACTATTATTATTAATATTATTACTGATATATTTATAGATTTTACCCCTTAGCTCCTCTCCCTCTTTTTAAGAGATGGTCCCCTAAATGTATATATTTATCAGTATATGAGTTTTGTCTTGCAGATCGTATGAGGAACGTCCCATTTCAAGACTCCCAAATCCATTCCGAGATGAGGAATTGGGTGCAATTGGTGAGAGACAAAGAGGTGATCTTCCCCCACCTATGAGTTTGGATTTAGAGCCTGGTCTTCATAATTTAACTACTCTTCTGGAAACTGTGCGTATGGCTAGTGAAGAATTAAGAAATGATGGAGTAGGAGGCAGTGCAGGAGAGCCTGCCCCACCACAGGATAGCACAAGACCCATAACAAATGTTCCAAGACGGCTAACAGACTTCCTGAGACGATCAGGAAATTTGCACGTCAGCAGGACCAAAATAGTAGGCAATCTGGTTGAGTGGCAGCTCTGGTGCAAACACTCCTCGGCCACACTTGGTGATACCAAGGATCACTCTCAGTGACCCCAACGGGAGTGAGAGTCAAGTAGAGGAGGAGAATGCTGCAGCAGCAATAGTTTCATCATCAGCCTACAATGATGCTGCAGAATTTAGTACAAGGTCTGTGGCAGGAGTGCCATTAAGGCTGCTTGGACGTCAGTATGCTGTAGACAGACGAAGCCCAGACTCAGAGAGATTCTCCAGGTCCTCCTGATGGGGTTCAGGAGGGGCCAAGCCAGCCTTCAGATCCACCATTCCCATGGAGAGGTCTTCTAGCTCCTTATGATATTGGACTACCAAGAGCAGAAGTGAGCTTCCGTCCGAATTTAACAAGGGCACCACCAGATCGAGCTGCTGAAAGAGAAGCTGATAATTTCTTTAGTAGACCTTACTTTGCACAGCACTTTGGAGCAACGAGGAACATGTCTGGTACGTACACACTGTAAGAGCCAGTATATTGGTATATTTTTAAGTTAGTTATAATTGCAATAAACCCTTAATTTAATATAGTTACTAAAAGGAAGGGATTGAAGTTCAATTTTCTGTTCATTACAAAAGTAATCTATTGAGACCATTTTTTACTGGTAAAAAAAAGTGCAATCAACAGAAATTGTTATATAGTTTTGAGGATGAAGCTAAAAAAAGTGTCTTTGATTTTTTTTTTTTTTTTTTTATTGTTCACATCTCTCTGCTTGCAAATGGTTTTGATATACAAGTAGTTGGTAAAATACAAGTGGTTGCAGTTCCAATTTGCCTAGAGAATGAGCCCAGAATAGGTCATAGTATGGATAAGAAGAATTTTTTGTAACCATTTCTGTATGATAATACTTACACAGTGTTATTATGATAACCCAGTGTATCCTATTGATTGATCCTGGC